GCTGTCCTGGATGCCTTGTTGGAGGGAAAAGCCCAGTGGGGGGAGAATCTCCAGGTAGGTGCCTGGCTGGCCTCCGTTTCTTCAGGATTGGTGATGGCCAGAATTTCAGTGCAGTCCACAGCCTTTTCACACATGGTCCATATCTATTGTTTCCCCAGGTAACTCTAATCCCAACACATGACACAGAAGTGACGCGGGAATGGTACCAGCAGACACATGAGAAACAGCAGGAGCTGAAGATCATGGTCTTGGCCAGCAGCAGCACCGTGGTGATGCAGGACGAGTCTTTCCCTGCATGCAAGATAGAGTTCTGAGGTCTGAGCTTCCCCTCCTCTCCTTCCCCTCCCACACAGCACTTGGAAGACCCATCTGCTCCCCACCGCTTGATTTGTTGCCTTTCCTGAGTATCAGCTGAACTCAGCAGGAGCAGCACTCCATCCTTGCTTGCCAGAGCCCCCGAGACTTGTCCCACACGCCTGGATACGTGTGCAAGAGTGGCCACTTGTTTGCTCTCCCTGGAATCGCTACCAAGGAGTTCAGCTCCTTGGTTTGTCTGCCCTGTCTTTGCCCTGTTCCTTCTCATCCCATGACTGAGTTCCCTCCTGCTAGATTCGTGGATCCGGCTCTTGGGCAATCCTAGGAGGGAATGTTGGGGACCACGCTGGAAGAGGACAGAGGCCTGATGGAGAAGGCAAGGCTCAACGTCTAGAGCAAGTCAAGGAAGCAGGCGGCCACAAGGCCCTACTTTCTAGGGAAGCTGAACAGAAGAGACCGTCTCAAGGGAACAGACATAAAGTGGCAAATGCTACTTTGGCAACCTCAGACCCTTCAGAGAGATGGCACAACCCATCTTCCCCTCTGTGGCACAATAATTTGAATGGGGGAGGTTCCTGTGACAATCTGTGCCCAGGCTGCCCTTTTGTCCAAGGGCCTGAGGCTGGGATGGCGTCTGCCACTCTGCCCACAGCTCTCATCCACTCAAAGGCCCAGCTGAAAGCAAAATCTTTCACTTTCTGTGACGAGGGCTTTCGGGATCAGCACATCCATACAAAGCTGTCTGTGCCTGGGATGGGTCGGCAGTTGAGGCAGCAGGCATTGGGAGCTGCCCAGTGCAGTGCTGAGCAGGTTGCAAGAAAGCATCCTTTTGTCCTCTGCAGGTATAGGTCAGCTTGGAAGAAACAGATGATACTTGGCACTCTTCAAAGGAGAGGGCGGATGAGGAGAAATAGAGTAGTGCTATTTTTTTCCAGTTATTGTTTAATTTATTATTTTTTAATGACATGTACGTTTTCATGTACAGGTATAGTTATTTTGCATTTGTGTTTAAAATGTTTTGACTTTTATTGTAGACTCTTAACTCCCAGGTCACAGGGTACTCATGTTTCTAAATGCTGCAAACTGACAGAGGATGAAGAATTATCCTGCCCCCCCCCATCACTTTGGTAACACACATTTGAATCCTTCGGTCCGCAGGAGCCCAGGTCAGCCTTGGGACATCTGGTCCTGAATGAGGGGAAATGCATGCCAACCTTTGTGGTTCTTGTGGCTTGAATTGCTGACCTTCTGACTGGTGTTTAGCTGGCAGACCAAGTGTACGTCTGTAGTTAGACAAGTGAATGTACTGACCCACTTATGAATGTGTCTTAGAAGCTGAAGCTAATGCGGGGGGGGGGGGGGGAGACCAAGAACTGTTCCTCTTAGGCAATACAAGGACTCTGACCCATCTCCTCCTCCTCCTGTTCCTCACAGCCCTGTCTGAGAGTCACTCCAATATTTTGTAATTTTGAAGCAAGCTTCAGCAGTCTCCCCTTGCCCATTTTATGGCAAAATTTATAAAAAATATTGCTCATCCTTAGCCATGAGAACCAATTTGACCTTTGGCAACCCAAGGAGAAAAATACCGCTTCTGCTGTTCCTGCATGTGGTAATTAGTACCCAAGTACTCCTGTTTCTCTCTGGCCTCGTGGAAAAGAAAGAGAAGCCACCCATCTGCTGAGTGTGGTGGAAGTCTCACCTAAAGAGCACAGTTCTCCTCTGGCCCTTTGGCTCCCCGTTAGATCTGTCCCCCTCCAACATCTCGCCTGCCTTCATTTCTGTGTGCAATACGCTGTAGTGCTAATAACCGCAAAGGAATGGGTCTGCGCTGACCAATAAAGCAACATTAACCACATGATTTGTGTAAGGCTCTCCCTCCGGCGCACTGGTGATCGCAAGGTCAAGAGAGCCATTTTGGCCCATCAAGGCATGGCTTCCTTACTTAGTTATTTAACTGGGGTGCTGCTCCTCTCGTTTGAAGGCACCTGGCCACAAGAATGGCCACAGAGTGGCCCTGTGACCCTGCCTCAATCCAGCCACAGCTGGGCACATTAAGAGTTAGGAACATGAAAAAGCCGAGGTGGGTCCCGAACGGGCTGTGCTAGGGCACAGCCTAACTGAGGTTGTATGTAAGACGCTCTTGAGTCAATGGCTGGGTTCCCATAATGGGGATGCAGCCAAGGCTGATCCTGGAGGAGAAAACAGCACAGAAGGAATGGCTGTGCTGTGGGTCTCTCTTCTTTGGGGCTGCGAGTCTGGCTGGGAAAGGAGAACTAGGGCTCACCAAGCACACACACACCCCAGCCTTCAGGTGGGGGGGGGATTTCCAACTTCCTCTTTGCTTGCAGTACCCACCATTGTTCTCTCTCCCTCCACCATTGTCCCCCTCCCTCCAGATGCTGGCAATGTAACAGCTGGGCAACACTTTCTCTTAGAGGTTGCACAGATCTCCCCCTCAGTCCCCCAAAGATCCTGAAGAACTCAAATTGGGCTGAAGAAAGGAGCAGAGAGAAATTGCCACTCTTGATAGGCAGGTTTTGGGGTCAAGAAGGAGGAAATTGGAGGGATCTGGTTTGGGAGCAAGTTTGGGGGAAGCCTTAAACAGGGCAACTTAAACAACAGGCAGCGAGTGAAAGCTAGTTGGCCAGTGTGAAGAAGGAAGGCACCTCAATATGACAAGCATCTGGGCTTGATTCCTGGACCTGGCCACACCTGGAAGACTGGGCTTTGCCACAGTGATGAGCTTCAGGCTTCAAAGAGTTTGAACTCCCCACTTCAGGCACCCAGCCCAGCATGGTGAATGACCCCTCAAGCATTGCCACAGAATTTAGAGGTGCTGGGCTGCTTCTGTTCGAGTAGCACATAAGCCTGGCAAAGTGAAATAAATGAAGCAGAAATTATTCTGGCAACATCCCAGGCATTTCAGCATCCTACAGCCAACATGACCAGATAGGTGGCCCAGCCCTATTTTTGATCCCGAGTCTGGCAACTGGAGCAGCCTGTCCTGCTCTGATCCTGGAGGGCTTTGTAGGCCTTGTAAGTAATTTCCCTGCACTGGCACTCTTGAGGTTGGTGCTGTTCCCCTTTCCTACTATTCTCAGGACTGGGGATCTCAGCTGTGCGCAGGACTGTAGCTAGTTCAGCCACTCACCCACTTCTGCCTCTCGGCTGACCTCAGGAAGTTTTCCCCTCCTCTGTGCTCTGGACTCAGGCACAGTATGGCAGCAATCAACCGGGAGGTGGGGGGATCAGCCAGAAATGCTGATGGGGAGAACTGAAATGGGTAGCAAAGGACACCCCCGGGTCAGAGCAGTGATCTTTGGGGCAGCTGTGGTGTGCAACAGCTCTGAGTCATCACAGTGTTTAGAAGGAGTTCTTTTGGCATTATTGTACATGATCTGCCCACCCTACATTCCACCTCCAGTTGCACCAACTCCCCAACATGGCACTTTTTTATTCCATCTATCTGTTTCCACCCTTTGTGCAACTCGATCAGCACACCACCTTCACTAGCAAGCCCATCCCTACCCCGCACCTTGGGGGTCCTGACAATTTAACTGTCATCTCAACATCCAGGAGTCTGTCCATAGAGCCTCTCGCTTGAACTCCCTCCACTGGGTACAACCAAACGGGATGCCCTCCACCCTTCCCCTTCTGCTGCCTTAGTTCCTTCAGCAAGAAAAGGACGCTTAGAAAGCTCTCCTCTGTCTGCCTGACCAGGGTAAAGGGGGACCAGCGTCTGCCAACAGGAAACCGTTTTGCCTTGCAGCTGTGGCAAGAATGCCGCCAAAAGGCTCTCCAGTTTGAGATAACACCCACAAGCATCTCTCCGATCTGCGGTCCCTCCTGGCATGCGAAGGCCCCTGGGCTCCCTCCAGAGAGGTGCCACCACACAGTTGCTGCAGCTCAAGCATGGAATGTTATAGCAATCCACTTTTAACTTGCTTTCTCTGCCTCCTTCTTAGACGCAAATAGTCTACTAAAAAAGCACCGCCAGAGAAGATAGGCTTTGGAGAAGCAGCCTGTCCACAACCATTTCAAGCCATTGCCAAGAACCTGAGATGTGATCCTCAGTCCTCCATTCAGACTGAAGCTGCTTTGCCTTCCTCCAGGCTGGAGCCCCTGGAATGAGTTGGCTGGCTCCTCCTGCGCCCACCTGCCTCCCTTCTGCTTCCTTTCCCTGAAAGAACCAATTTGTTCTCCTCCTCTGCAGAACATCTTTGGAGAATGTGGTAAAGCTGCTTGAAGGCCAACAGTCATGGGTCACTAGACCCCTCCTTGTGATCATCCTCAGAACCACCCCTAAACTTCCTCTCCTGTTGTGGAGCAGGCAGACTTCTGGGGCACATCTGTAGGGGGTCAGATTCCGAAGTCCAGCTTCTGGGGTTCTTGTGAACAAATCTGGGCAAATATGATGTGGCATCAACCGTGCCTCCCTCTCCTTTGACTGGAGATTTGTAGAAATCAGGCAGCCTTTTGGCCAGCCCCTGGCCAAGCCTTACTCTTAACATCCCCACCTCCCCTGGCTTTCCAGGGTTCCTCCAGCTCCTTCAAGACAAACTGCTCCTGCCCAGGGAGGCTCTGCTCTTGGGCCCCTTTTCCACATCCTCTCCTGCCTCGCCAGAGAAAGAGACCCCTGTCTAATGAGGCTCTACATCTCAGTCCAGCAGAGAATAATGATGTAATCAGGGCCAAGAGTGCTTTACTACAGATTGTACCTACAGCACAAGGACTTAGAGAGTGTGTCGTAATTCAGAAACACAGAAATCTTAACCACCAACACTTTGGACATGACATCTGCCCCCCTCCCTCTTCCCTCCAACCATTGATGCAAAGAATATATTACTATTTGGGTAACATCACCGATCCACCCAGACAGCAACTGATTTGTATATTTTTAAGAAAACCTGGTTCATTTAGTGGTTCCAGCAAGGCTGGAAAGGGGCTTCAGGGAGGCCAGTCCGCTTTCTATGCCATCCAAAGCCACACTGATTGCTGCTTCAGTGGCCTCACCAGAACCCCATGGAAAGCCTGGAGTGAACTGTTCCCCTGAGCTGCTCCTGAAACTTCTTCAGCTCCACTGGGACAATGTGGCTCCATGTTGGAATCTTCACCGCTCTGGGCTTTTGCTGGTTGAATGGCAGTCTCCCAGGTGCTACCGAGGAGTAGAAGATGCCCTGCCCCAGGCAAGGTCCCTGAGCCCCTTGCTCGGGAGCCTTTTAAGCAAGATCTCTCACACCTCTTTGCTGTTCAGCCCATCTGGGTCTGGCTCTGGGCCCCATAGGCCCCACAGCTGTCCCTCTCCCTCCTTTGACTGCTCTTCCTGCTCGGCTGAGGCCTCCTCCAACCGATTTTGCTCTGGCCCCGCTGCCTCCTCCTCACTCACTGCCAGGAGCTCCCCCCAAGGGATGAAGCCCTGCAGGCCCCCTTCTTCCATGCTGAGCAGTTCCTCACTGGGGGGCCTGTCAGCAGGCTGGTCCTCGTGGAAGCAGCTGACCAAAGAAGGTAAGGATTCCATGAAGCCTTTGCCGGAGGTCACATCAAACAGGCTGCTCCCCTCTGCAAGGCAAACATAAGGGAGACTGTCATGGGCAAATCCCTGGCCAGTACAGCACAGTCTCTGCAGCACCTTCAGCCAGAAGGAATCAAACACCCCCCAAGACCCTCCTGCATGAGCAGCCCCACTTCCTGCTGTTGTATTGGTTGCCCAAGTGTTCACAACTGCAAAAGAGCCGCTTATCAGAATCTGGCAATGTTGCCACCCCTTCAATTCCCTGAGTCAGCCACTGCCCCCTGGTAAGACTCAGGTGGGCTGCCTCATCTTCCGGCCACCTCACAGCCTTTTTTTCCCATTCTCCAGCATAGGGCAACAACCACTCGTTCCCTCCCAGAAAAAAGACCATTTCTGCTCCTTTGCAGAAGTGGCAGACAAGCAGGGCAGTAACGTGAGGCCTCCCCAAGTTCCGTTCTGCTCACTAGCTTTATGCGGCTGCCCAACTCACAAATCCCAAATCTACGGGGCTCAAATCAGATTGACACCAGTACAGAAGCCCCCCCCCACATCATTTCAGATGGGCAGAGCCAGCATCCTGACCCACTTGGAGCTCAGAGGTCTGGGTAGGCAAAGCCATTGCTCCTGGGGCCTCTGGAGCCTTTAGACCACCAAGGCAGCAGCTGTTTTGGAAGGTTTTCTGCTCTTGTTGGAAATTTATGGCTGCTGGGTGTCCCACACCATGGCATGGACTTCATTCGGGGAAAGTCTTCAGCTCTTCCAACAGGCGTCTTGAGTTGCACTCAGAGCAAGGCCAGAAGATTTAAGTTTAAGTTTAAGTTTAATGCGATTTATATGCCGCCCTATCTCCAATGGACTCAGGGCGGCTCACAACAATAAAATGCACAATTGCACATTAAAACAATATGAAATTAAAAGTCCAAATTAAAACAGTTTAAAATCAATTTAAAACTATTAAGAACCCCCCCCCCATCAGTCCAGGCTACAAAACAACCAGGTCTTCAAATCACGGCAGAACGAGCGAAGGTCAAAGGCCATCCGGAGCTCCAAAGGAAGTTGGTTCCAAAGGGTGGGTGCACCCACAGAGAAAGCTCTCCCCCTGGGGGTCGCCAGCCGACATTGTCTGGCCGACAGCACCTGAGGAGGCCCTGTCTGTGGGAACGCACCAAGCGATTGGAGATTGTTGCTGGCTGCAGGGGGTCCAACAAGTATCCCGGGCCTAGGCCATGAAGGGCTTTATAGGTGATAACCAGCACCTTGAACCTCACCTGAAGGGCAACCGGTAGCCAATGCAGGTTGCGCAGGAGGGGTGTAACATGGGAGTGTCGGGACACTCCCATCACAACCCGCGCGGCCGCATTCTGCACCAGTTGAAGCCTTCAAATGGTTTTCAAGGGCAGCCCTAGGTAGAGAGTGTTGCAGTAGTCAAGGCGGGAGATGACCAGCGCATGAGTAATGGTGTGTAGAGCATCTTGGTCCAAGTAAGGGCGCAGCTGACGCACAAGGCGGACCTGGGCAAATGCCCCCCTGGTCACGGTTGCTACATGATCTTCCAGAGACAACCGTGAATCCAGAAGGACACCCAAGTTGCGGGCCCTATCCACAGGGAGTAACATCTCACCCCCGATGGTCAACGATGGAATATTTTGATTGGACCCAGATGCCGGTAACCACAGCCACTCGGTCTTGGCGGGGTTGAGTCGGAGCCTGTTCCTCCCCATCCAGGTCCGTACCGCTTCCAGGCAACGGGACATCACGTCGAGGGCATTACTAGGCTGGTTTGGGGTGGATATAAAAAGCTGGGTATCATCAGCATACTGATGATACCTCTCCCCGAAACCATGGATGATCTCCCCAAGCGGCTTCATATAGATGTTGAACAGGAGAGGTGAGAGAACCGACCCCTGGGGCACCCCACAAGTGAGGGGCCTCATAGCCGATCTCTGCCCTCCTGCCAACACCGCTTGCGTACGGCCCGAGAAATAGGAGGAGAACCACCGTAAAACAGTGCCTCCCACTCCCAACCCCTTGAGTCGTCGCAGCAGGATACCATGGTCGATGGTATCAAAAGCCACCGAAAGATTCAAGAGGACCAGAACAGAGGAGTGTCCCCTGTCCCGAGCCCTCCAGAGATCATCCACTAGTGCAACCAATGCTGTCTCCATGCTATGCCCCGGCCTGAAACCCGATTGGTATGGATCCAGGTAGTCTGTTTCCTCCAGGACCGACAGGAGCTGCCGAGCCACCACGCTCTCAACAACCTTCGCAACAAAGGTTGGAGACCGGCCGAAAGTTATTCAATATGGTTGGATCCAAGGCAGGTTTCTTGAGGAGGGGTCTCACCACCGCCTCCTTCAGGGTGGCGGGGAAGATCCCCTCCCCCAAAGATGCTGTTATTACTGCCTGGATCCAATCACGTGTCACCTCTCGGACTGCATAGGCAAGCCAAGAGGGACACGGGTCCAGTACATATTTAGCCAAGGTTACTTGCACAAACTGTTCCTTGGTTTGTCGACCCTGGTGCCCCACAGAGGGGAAGGTGGGGTGGATACCGACAGAATCAGGACTGCTTCTTCAGGGGGTTTGTGAGCCTAGCTTGGAGATCACACAGCGGGGTGTGCACAGTTCTCAGATGTTCCGCCTGCCCTTCCCTACCTGCTGCAGTTTTATCTGACATGCAGCCAGGATTGCTCAGGCACGGAGACCAACAAGAGCTTTGTGGTTGGCTCAGAAACGAGGTTATGGACCTCTGATGGAGCTGCCTGTTCCAATTAAGACTGGAAGGGAGGCTGCTGAGACAAGCCAGCTCTTCCCATTGGCTCTTGCAATCTGTAACAAACTTTCAGCTCTTACCCCAATTGAATCATGACTCCCTCCTGTGTGCTGTAGCAGCATCCAGGACCTGCTGGACACTTAATCCTCATTCACTGACATCTGACCTTCCTTTGAACAGTTCCAGGAGTGGAGGGGAAGATTTCAGAACTCTAAAACTTGCCCAATAAAAGAAGCCCCGGGGGTGGGGTGGGGTGAATTCTGCAGACATCTTTGCCATTTGGGCTCCCCTGGCAGATTAAGGAGGGCCTCAGGGGCTTTAAATAACCATGATGCTGTTTGTTTTGTCTTGGCATCCCTTTGGATGTCCTCCTGCTTCAGTATATATTAGCCAGCAATACAAGAATTTCAGAGAATTCACCTCACGCTTGTTGTTCAATAGCTACAAGCTGTCTCTGAATTAGACATGATGGCATGTCTACCAAAGGCATGACACAAAGAGAAACCAAACCAGTTTTGGGTTCAGAATGGCAGCCCAGGGTGCCCAGCCCAGAGATCCCTCCCCTCTGCCCCCTTACCTGTGCAGGGCCTCGGCTGGGAGTCGGCGCACCTCCCGGACAGAGTGGTCAGGAAATCGCTGACCTGGCGAAGGGAGAGGCAGTTGTGCAGCGTCTCCAATGGGTAGATGCTGGGCACCATGGAGCAGCCTTCAAACCCTGCAGACCAAACAGCAGCATCAGTGTCGGGGAACTTCACCCACCCAACCTGCTTCCAGTCCGATCACCCCAAATGTCAGCAGCAGCAGCTCTGACCCTTTCTGAGCCTCTCAGGACACCCCCACCCCCATCAAAGCAAAAGAGCAGCAGAGCTGATAGCTTCCCCTTAACGCTGGGGGTTGGGGGGTGCATCTGCAGTACAAGCAGCAAGGAAAGCCGTCTCCCAGGACCCATCCTTTGGGGAGGGAGGCTGCTCCCAGGCTGCAACCTTAACGCTTCTAGGCCAGAAACCCTTGGACAGTCCAGGAAATGCTGCTGCAGCAGTAGCAGCAGCAGCTAGGAAAAGCACCTGTGTGCAGATTTATTTATTTATTTTATTTATTTATTTATTTTCAATTTATATACCGCCCTTCTCCCTGAGGACTCAGGGCGGTGCACAGCCAGAATTAAAAACATGAAATACAAATATTAAAAACAATTAAAATCTATATAAATTTGGCCCAAAATTAAAAAAAAACCACAAACCAATTAAACATTTAAAAATTTAAAAAATTTCTTCCTAAGCCAGCCCGGCTTGCTGGAAAAAGTGGGTTTTAAGGGCACGAGGGAAGGCACTGAGGTCTTGGATTCTCCTTATCTCTGGGGGCAGCTGATTCCAGAGGGTAGGTGCCCCCACAGAGAAGGCCCTCCCCCTGGGGGTCACCAGCCTGCATTGTTTGGCTGATGGCACCCCGAGGAGGCCCTCTCTGTGGGAGCGCACGGGTCGATGGGAGGTCGTCGGTAGCAGCAGGCGGTCTCGAAGATAGCTAGGCCCTATGCCATGGAGATGCCCCCAGGCTTCTCCAGAGCAGCTGTGCTGCGTAAAAGCCCAGGTCTCATTCGCTGACTTGGTTTACATCCATGCTGTTTCTATTGCTTTGTGCCATTTCTCCCTGTTTTATCCTAGAGAAAATCTGTTAAGGAGGTTAATGCTGGAGGGCAGCACTATTTGGGGTGCATCGAGATGTGGGAGCAGCTAACCCTGGGAGCAACTATTGGGGACAGACAGAGACCATTAGGGCTGCCTCTTCTTTTTACTGTGTCATGAAAAGTGATCGGTGGCTTTTATAAAGAAGGCTTTGTGCTCTAACTGAAGAGTACTAAAACAGTTTTTAAACAGGAGTGACCGCACAGCCAGCAGGAGAGGTGCCCACCCCACCCATTGGGACTTAGTGGGGAAAGCAACATCATGGGGTGGTGGGGAGGAGGCTCTGCTTCCTTCCTTCTGGAAGGAATTCCTGAAACAAGATAGCCAGATGCTCGGCTCAAATGCTCCTCAACTGGTACACAGCAGAACAAATAAACCCACAAAAAGCCATGATGGACACATTTTGGTACTTATACAAATAGGAAACAGACCACAAGCATACCAATTTTGAGGGGGGAGAGGGAATAAGAAATTGAATGAGAAGTATATGGGGGGGGGATTATCGCTCAATGCCCATTTCCTAAAAAACAAAAACACTTTCAGGGAAGGAGATTTCTACCTGTGTTATATCTTGCAAAATAGCAAAACCAGTCAAGTGTCATGGTTTTTTTGTGGATCCCTATACCAAGGCTGCTTAAGATGGGATCTGAATGATTAAGATTTGCATTTTGGAAGGGGGAGCAAGCCTCTTAAGAAAGTGGTTTCCCTCTCAAACAGGAGACAGGAGGAGGCTGGCCTGGATGTGGCCTCTCAGGTGCTTGTGAACAGCAGTTCCATCTCCCCACTTTTAAAAGAAATCGCTGCAGGGCTCTTGCATGCTGCTGCTGAAGCCTCACAAAAGGTTCCCCCCTCCCTCTGGGCAAAATGGGAGTGGACCCATGTGGCACGGCCAACATCTGAGAAAGGAAACTTGCTGTTCTTACCACCAAAGAGCTGTAATTTAGGTGATGAGCAGCAACTTTTATTTTTGGGCATAAACTAGAGGAAAATCTGCACAGAGCTCTCAGAAGCTCCACTTTACAAAATAAAATGCAGGTTTCTAGGCTGGGCTGTTCATGGCCATTGTGGCGAGAATCTCATTCCTTTTGCTACAGTCTTTTATCCTCAGCATTTGCAGCAAGTTAAGGTTGCCAGCCACTTAATCTCAGATACCTTCCAGAGAGTTGGTCATGCAAGGATTGAGATCTGGAGCAAAGCTTTGAAACAAGGCTTCCTCCTACTTGAAGTCAGCAGCTGCTGCCTCCCAGGGATGTGGGCTGGGCCTCGAAGCACAGGGTCTCTGCCAGGTTTAGCAGGTGCTCTAACGAAGGAGGCCACCTTCCTTGCCCTTCTGAGAGAATGACCAAACCTTTACGCCAAAACGTTTAATTGTTAAATCCTTCAGGAATGTCTGAGAGACTTTGAAGAACCCAGATCAACATGACATCTCCAAGACAGAGTGGCACACTTGTGTTGTCCCCACATTTTGTCCCCTTCCGTCACAAGATTTAAAAAATGAGACAATGTGGAGTACAAAAGCTTGCAAACATGAGAAAGATTCATGTATGTGTTTCTGAACCCCTTATTTATAGCTTGGAAGCCCACTCTGATCATGACTGCTAAAAGGGAACCCTAATTTCAGAACAATGAAAGCTATAGTAGAAGCCCTTAAATACAGTAGCTCTTCTCCTGCTTTATCAGGACTTCGCTGTCTTTGGGAAACTCTCCCCCCCCACCATTTAAAAGGAACTCTTGACCAGGTGAAGGCCCCATTCCAGGGGTGAAATGCTACTGGTTCACTCCGGTTCAGGTGAACCGCTGGTGATAAAAAGTACTGGTTTGCGCGAACCTGGAGTAAAAAAAAAGCTATCAGTTCAGTTGAACACAGCTGATCGTCGGATCGTAGCTTTTTAAACTACTGAGTTTAAAAACCTAAGATCCGACGATCAGCTGTGTTGCATGATTTAGCTTTGCTAGAAAGCAGGATTTCCTGCAAAGCTAAACCTGATCTCCCCCCCCTGCTGTTCTACTTACCTTATCAAGCCTCCATTTGGTGCATATTGAGCATGCGCGTGCACACAGCATGCGGCAAAAGGCGATTTGGGAAGGTAAGTAGAACAGCAGGGGGAGGGATCAGCTGTGCCGTGTGGTTTAGCTTTGCTAGAAAGCAGGAAATTCTACTTTCTAGCAAAGCTAAACCGCGCAGGACAGCTGATCGTCAGATCGTAGCTTTTTAAACTACCTGTTCAACCGAACCAGTAGGTAACTACTGACCGAACTGGTAGCTTTTTAAACGTGCAGCATGCGTTTGGTGCACACTGCGCATGCAAGCACAGCATGTTTGGTGCACACTGCGTACAAGCAGCGCACGCTTGGCCCTGCAGCACGTATGCACGGCCAGCGAACCGGTAGCAAACTGGTTCAGATTTCACCACTGCCCCTTTCCTACTCTGGGGAATGACCTTCTCCCACATCCTTCCCCCATCTGTGTTCCAGAAAAGTGCTTCTGTGCTAAGGCAAAGGGCTTCACTATGAATAGGGTGTGTGTGTACACTTTGTCGGACTTTTGCAGGGCAGGAGATGTTTCCCCCTCCTCAAAAGTCTCCTTCCAATAAAGCTCAAGCCTTGGTGACTTCGTCCATGGGTCAGTGGACATAATTTCTTGAAGAGGTGCCGAAGTGACCCTGCCCCTTAAGCCCACCCTCGTTGTGGTGGCTAAGTGACCCTTCTCTCCTCCTTCTGAAAAGAGCAGACAGTGCGGTTATTGTGAGGACATTACACAAGACAACCAGTCACAAACATACAGCAAGACACAGGACACAGCAAGTGCAGGGCAGGGACAGCCGAGAGGGGAGAGTTTCAAATTAAGAAGCAAACGTACCATTAGTTGGATGCTTTGCAAATGACACAGAAAATCTCTTTATGGCTGGCATAGACAAGAGCTCTGGGGAAACAAGAAAAAACATCCCTTCAGTGGGGGGGGGCAGTTGGCCCCTGCCAAAGCTGCTGCTGATGGGGAAGCACAAGGGAGGAGCACAAAGGGGGAGAGGCAGCGGAGAAGGCGGGCTAAACTCACTGGATCCCCAAAATTGTACTGAAAGGCAGCACAGCCTCTTCAGGACAGTACGGAGGTCCAAGCTCAACTTGAAGAAAAAGAGACAGGACAGAGAGAGCCTCTGTTGGCATCTCTTACCAGCCTCTTCCTGGCCTCTTCCCAGCTTCAGGCACTAAGAAACAGGGTTAGTGGCCAGCCCTTCCTCACCAGCCAAGCTCAACCAGGGTTCTACAATCCAAGCCAAGAGCCCAGGACAGGCTGGAGGGTGCCTTTGCAGACCAGTTACAGCATCCACCTCTTCTTAAACTTAAGGCTTATTTATAGGAGGCTGAGTTAGTTTATAGTGAATTTATGGTTTGGTGTGTTATACGAACCCAGAAAGCAGGTTAACTCAGTAGCCACCTAATACCAACTATACCAGGACTGCCTTGGTGTCTAATTTCTCCCTTTGGTCCTGTTCAAGGCAGCAATTCCACAACAAAATCTGGAGAACTCTCACATAACCCCTGGCAACCTAAGAGCCACTTTTGGCATCAGAGGCCAGATTCCCTTGATGGCCCATCATCCCCAACTTCTCCCAGATCTTCAGACTGATCACACAGTAGAGCTCTTGAAGTGTCCTCCAAAACTGTAGACTAACAACAACCAACCCAAATTCAGACCAACTGAAGCTTTGCTTGAAGAGATTCAAGACAGAGGAGGGTCTCCTTACAGAGCCTGAAAGGAGCTGCAGAATCAGGGGAGTGCAGGTGTACAACTTTGGGTTTATTTGGGCAGGAGAGCCACGTCCAGCTTTTCAATCAGGGAGGAGGCACTTCTTCTGGGCTGACCTTAGGGGACCTGGGCTTCTCTGTGACTCCATCACCACCAGCCCTCCTCCCTGCTGGTTCCCAGAAGCCTTGAGGGACTGAAGTGGAGATGCCCTCCCCTGCACCTTAGGGCCATTTATACTGGAAGAACCAGGTTTCATTTATTATTTTATTCTTTTTATAAATATCTCAAGGCAACAAATGTACTTAATGCTCCCCCCTCCTCCCCTTTTCCCCTCAACAACAACCTATGAGGCGAGTTGGGCAGAGGTAGAGTGACTGGCCCAAAGTCATCCAGATGGCTTTCACACTTATGGCAGGACTTGAACTCACCGTCTCCTGGTTTCTAGGCCATCATCTGACCCACTAGGCCAAACTGGCTAAATTTTCTGACTGACCAAACTTTCTCAGAATACCAGGGATTTTATTAGTACTGGCAGTTTATTTATATTAAGTCTGGTAGTGAAATAGAGTGTATGCCATAGAGCATCGGGTTCAACTGAAGTGGCCTTCAGCCGGAATAATAATTAAATTAATTAAATTAATTAATAATTAAATATTTGTAATTCCTTGTCCTCCAATCATCGTCACCCCTCTTCTTTGAACTTGTTCTAGTCTCTGAATCCTTCTTCATTTGTGGTTTCCATAACTAGGTGCTTCAGAAAGTTTTTACAGGTACAAGTTATCCTTGCAAATGCGAATTGAGAAATTCCCCAAAGGCCTTGTATGGCCAGAGTCCCCATGAGCTTCTCAGCCCCCAATCCCCCCCAATGACCTTCCACCTGCCTCTTTGAACAGCTGCCAGGCACAAGCAGCAGCCTGGGGCAGAAGGGAGAGGCCAGTCCTTCCCCACATCTCCAGTAACTCGCCTCAGCCTCCATGCCAAGGCCGACCCTGGTTCCCTGGCCCCAAATCAGAAGGTGCACCTACCGTCTTTGTACAGAAAGCTGGAGACAAACTTTTTCCCATGGCTGCGTGCATAGTCCTGAAGATTTGGGGCACTGGAGGAGCCACCCAGGACTGTGGTGCTGAAGAGCCTTGAGCATGGAGACCCTGGAAAGCAGAGTGGCAGCTGATCTCTTCACCTCTCATGCATAAGCAAGAAATCCCACTGCACCAGTGAGCAGAGTCTCCTTCCCCTGGGCCCTGCCAGAGGATGGTTCAAGAGACCCAGGAGACAGTGGGGGTCTTGCCAGCTCTAGGACAGGAGGTGGCTCCAAGCTTTGGGCCAGCTGAAAACAAATGGACGATGGCTGACTTTGCCTTGTGCACAAAGGACATCGGCAGAAAAGAGTTGTGGACTGTAACTAGTTCTGGGTGGTAATAATGGGAATGGAGGGAAATTTTTCACTTTGGAACTTCTGGCCAGAAAAAAATAGAGGGACACAGTACTCAAGAAACTGTCCATACACCTAGGAGAAGCCCAGGGAAAATCCTCCAGCAAAGCTCAGAATCAGCTGACAGGATTTAATGCCTTTTAAAAACAGCCTATCAGCTTTGCCAAAAGATGCCCTCGGTGCAGGATGCTTCCTTCCTGGGCCAGAGCCAGGCTACGCTTGTCCGTTGTTCTCCTCTGGCCAGAGAGCCCGCAATGAGGAAGGCAAGCATGGCTTCTCCATGGGGGCCCTTTGAGGTGATCTGCCCACCACTGCCATCACATGGGGCTTTGGCTGGCCACTGGCTTAGAAGTGTCTGGGCGCCTGCAAGTTGGTCTTGGGCCATCTCTGCAGTTTTTTGGTTTGGCATTCAATCTTGGGGCCTGGCCGGAGGCGGGGGGGGGAGCATCTCAGAAAGGAGAGACAAGTCCCTTTCTTGCCTCTCCTTTCTGAGATGCTCCCCCACCCAGGAAGCAGCAGGTGAAGCTAAGCAGAATCACATCAGATACCTGTACAATTAGCACAGGGGCCCCACAAGGCTGTGTGCTCTCTCCACTTCTCTCTCTATACCAATGACTGCATCTCAAGTGATCCATCTGTTAAACTATTGAAGTTTGCAAGATGACACAACAGTGATCGGTCTCATTTGAGACAATGAATCTGCATACAGACGGGAGGTTGAACAACTAGCCTCATGGTGCGCCCAGAACAATCTGGAACTGAACACACTCAAAACCGTAGAAATGGCAGTAGACTTTAGGAGAAATCCTTCCATACTTCCACCTCTCACAATACTAGACAACACAGTATCAACAGTAGAGACCTTCAAATTTCTAGGTTCTACCATATCTCACGACCTAAAATGGACACCCAACATCAAAAACGTCATCAAAAAAGCACAACAAAGAATGTTCTTTCTGTGCCAACTCAGAAAGCTCAAACTGCCCAAGGAGCTGCTGATGCAGTTCTATAGAGGAATTATTGAGTCTGTCATCTGCACCTCTATAACTGTGGTTTGGTTCTGCAACCCAACAAGACAGACACAGACTTCAGAGGATAATTAGAACTGCAAAAAAAAAAAAAAAAACAAAAAACAATTACTACTAACCTGCCTTCCATTGAGGACTGCACAAGTCAAAAAGAGGGCTGTGAAAATATTTACAGACCCCTCGCATCCTGGACATAAATTGTTTCAACTCCTACCCTCAAAACGACCCTATAGAGCACTGCACACCAGAACAACTAGACACAAGAACAGTTTTTTCCCGAATGCCATCACTCTGCTAAACAAATAATTCCCTCAATACTGTCAAACTAGTTACTAAGTCTGCATTACTATTAATCTTCTCATCGTTCCCACCACCTCCCACTTATGACTGTATGACTGTAACCTTGTTGCTGGTATCCTTAAGATTTATATTGACTGTTTCCCTATGACTATAATTAAGTGTTGTACCTTATGATTCTTGACTAATGTATCTTTTCTTTTATGTACTCCGAGAGCGTATGCACCAAGACAAATTCCTTGTGTGTCCAATCATACTTGGCCAATAAAGAATTCTGTTCTGTTCTGTTCTGTTCTGTTCTGTTCTGTTCTATTCTATTCTATTCTATTCTATTCTATTCTATTCTATTCTATTCTATTCTATTCTATTCTATTCTAATTCTATAGATTGCTTCTATAGTATTGATTGCTGGTGAGTGGTGTGTGTTTTAGCTGGGCTGTTTTTGTCATCTGCCTGGAGTTGCTGCATTGTCCAAGGAGGGCAGCCACCTAAATTCTGTAACCAAAGAAGAACAGAGTGGCCTGGCACCAGTAGACACATCCCAGCCCAAATCTCCTTCCTCACCACCATTCTCTGCCGCCACTCTCAGATCACTGGCAGACTTTTCCACAATTTCCACATCTAAAAATTAGATGGCATTTTCTGGAATATTTTTGTCTATCTTGAAACCTCCTTGGAACCAACTGGCAGCCTTGTTGACCAGGTTGTTGGTCCCGGCTCTACCTGAGAGAGCTGCTCAAAAGCTCAGCTATCCCCATCTCCACCCCACCCCCAGCCTCCTTGCAACCATCCTACCCTCCCAGGTGGGGGGGGGAGGAGGAGGAGGAGGAGGAGGATCTCCTTGGCCACGAAGGAAGCCATCTCTCAGGCTTTTTTGCAGGATGGAAGGCAGAAAAGCAGCTGTCAGCGTTGCCTCCCAACAGGGTGACTTGTGGCTGCTCATAAATTCTCCTTGCAGGGATGGGTTCCTTTCACTGAACCTCCAGCATGCTAAGGCCCAGCAATCTCCCTTCAACACTCCCCCTTCCACAGTTCAGCTCTGGCTCAGGCATGAGGAGAGCAGAGGAGGCTGTGGACCACCATGCTTCACTGTTCCCCGAAAGATGGCTGCTTCCCCGAGCTTGAAAGTGGCCCCTGCAGCCTTGGTGGCAGGGAAGACTAATCCAGGCCAAGCCCCTGAATAGCCTAGCAGCACAAGCAGGCCAATGATGCCCGGCAGGGGCCAGGCCCCACAGCAGCCTTCCAAGGCAACCCAGCTAATGTGGCTCCTTCCCAGGCAATCTGCAAATGGCAGATTGGGGTTCAGGGTCACTGAGCACTTCAAGGGCTAGGGAGGCAGATCCCCTTCCAAGGAAAAGGGCAAGGCAGGAGAAGAAAGGAAGATCCTGCTCTCCAGTCGAGATGTGATGCTGCTTTAACTGAGAACAGGCCTCTTCCTGTCTGGCTTCTGGCGCCGCCAGACGGTCCTCCGTGACCGCCGCCCCGTTGCCTGTAAAAGAGCCGCCTTTACATCTGAAAGGCAGCTCGAAAAACTCCATTTCCTGATGGAAATGTGAGTCTGAGCGAGCGGGGGTGGGTAGAGCCCTCTGCGAAGTCCCCAGAGTCTTTTTTAACTCTTGGGGACGGGCAGGTTGGAGCTCCCTATTGTCCCTCGCCGCTGCTCCGGGCATCGGGTGCAATCTGCTTTTTTGCAGAGCTAGGCGCTGGAACCGGATTAACTAACGAATCTAACAGATGGACTTATTAAAAAAGATGAGATTTGGATTTTGGACCCTAAATCGCAAGTATCCTTAATGAATTTACAAGCATTTTAAAGTGAAAGAGGAAAAAAAAAAAAGCTTTAAAATGGCCGCTGAGGCTTGGGAAGTAGAAGAAAGCTGAAACTAAGAGTCCTTCCATAACAGATACAAAGTAGCGGAATATATACTGCTGGCTACAATTTGAAAGAAAAAGAGTTATTTTAAGTTCCTCTCTTCTTGGAGATTTGTACTTGATCTTGTTTGGGGGGTAAAAAAGAACAGTTTGCTGGAAGGATGGCGTTACTAATGAAATCTGATAGACAAGAAGGGGGGGTGCTCCCCCACTCACAACTGTTTGAGCAAGCTCTGAGCCTACAGACTTTGCAGAATGGTTTTAATTTAAAAGAATTTATTCAGGAGGAAATGGCAAAATGTTATGAGACTGTGAACCAGAAATTTGAAAATTTAAGGCAGGAAATTAAAGAAATGATACAACAAAAGTATGACAATTTGCAACAAAAGATTGTAACAGTGACTAATGGTTTTTCAGAAATTGTTATAAAGTTGGATACAAATATTAAATTGCTAGAGTCTAAAATGGAGAAAATTGATAATTTGGACAATAAAATATTAAGAATTGAAAAGGACTTAATAAATATTCGAGATAATAGCTCAGAACTAAAGTCTAAAAAGGAAGCTGGTCACGAGACTTATAATGCAGAAGATATAAAGCAAGGAATTGAAAGAGAGGTTGTAATGCTGCAATACAGAATTACAGAATTTGCGATCAGAATCAGAGGCTTACAGGAAAATAATAGTGATGATTTAAGAAAAACATCTGCTCAAGTTTTGGCTGGGATCTTAAAGGTTCATCCTGAGGAGGTATTCAGTAAAATTAATAAGGCTTACAGAGTGAATTCCTGGATTGCAAAACAAAGGCAACTGCCTAGAGATGTGGTGATTTACTTTACAGATAAAGAGATAAGGAATGATATTGTGCAAAAATCTTTTAATTCTACTTTACAACTGAATGGGAGAAAAATCTGGATATATAAGGAATTGCCGCCTAAGATGGTAAGAGATAGAAAGAAATTTGGTCTATTGGTGACTGAGTTAAGAAGACAAAATATTCTATTCAGGTGGGATGTCCCAGTGGGTATAATACTGAGATATCAAGGAATAAGACATCAGATAAATACTGTTGAAAAAGCGGAAGAATTTTATCATAAGGTACTTAAAAAGCAAAATCAACAAGAGACAGAAATTCAAGAAAAGCAGAAGGAGATGGAGATGGAGACAATGAAGAAACAACAAGTTAAAGAGGTCTCCACAGATGAGCCGCTTTTGGATTCTCTTTCAGAGGTCTCAGCTGGATTATTTAATATAAGAGAAGCGGTTCCGGATCCTATTGCAATGATTTGTCAAACCACAAACCAGCATGGAAGTCAATTAGTTGATATACAATTTACAGAACCAGAAAGATCTCAGCCACAAAAGCAAACCCAACAGGATCAAGTTATACACCAGCAAAACCAAATAGTTGATATACAATCTACAGAAAGGAATTTAGGATGGAGATCCAACCCACAAAAAGTCAAGAAAAGAAGAAGTAGGTCTCACAAACATAAAAACTTTTAAACTAAACAACAGTAATGCCAGTTACTTATGAGAGGACTGAATATATGAAAAGATAATTGGCAAAGTATTGGTTTATTTTATCCTGAGGATAGGGCAGATCTCTGCAGTGCTGAATTATTTTGGGATGTGAAAAAGGCCTTAAATTGAATGGTTGGAAACATCTTGTTTGATTTTTGGATTTCCGGATAAATATATTACGTGTATGTCGAGTTATATGGCAAGAGATTTACTGGATTGGGGCACGCAGAAGATCTGGTTGTTACCCTATTATGATGGTTGGAATTAATAATCTGGATAAAAGACACCTCCATAAACATTATATGGAATATAATTATAAAGTCACTCGGGTGGTTGTTGGGGGCTTTTTTTGTTTCTTTCTTCCAATATGAAGATATTCGTTACTGATGGGGGCAGATGGTAATTGAAGATTCTGAAAATACTGCTGGAATAAGGATGCGATGTTACCCTAACATGGGTGATGGAGTTTATCATCCAGTTGAAGGATATTACAGAAGATGTTATAGGGATTACAAGTTTAAAGTTTTTTTTTTCTTTTAGGATTTTATTTACATAAGGGAATATTCTTCTAGGGGAGTGGGCAGAAGAATAAAGATATTAAGAATAATTATGGTAATTTTGTAGGAAAGTGGGTGGAGATAGGATAGGTTATGGATTGTTTAGTTTAAAGAAAAGGGATATTATGTTTAGATGTGAATGTATGTAATGAAGGGGGGGAAGGAAATGGGTAGTTGAATTGAATAAGTGTTAAATTAGGATTTATTGAATAGTTTTAGAGTGGAAGTATGCTTTGAAATGTTATATCGTATGGGGGGTAGTAAAAGGGTAGATCACGAGCGGAAATTGTTAAATTGGGAGATATAATAATATTATTATGTTAAATCAGGAGTTACTAGATATTGTTATAATAGAATGTCACTTTGAAATGCATATTACAGCATAGTATAAGGGGGGTATGATAATTTTATTAGAAAGAAAGGGTCAGTATATGGAGATGGAGTAAGTGGATAGCAAAGTATGATATAATCTGTTATGAATTTGGGTTTTATTATGAAGAAGTCAAAGGGGAAGGGGGGTGAGGGGGGTTAGGGAGGAGGGGGGGAAAAAAGGGGGGGAAATTTGTATTTGAAAAACTTTTTTAATAAAAAAAAAAGAGAACAGGCCTCTTCCTGAATTGGGACTATCACTAACTCCTCCTAACTCAGCCAATCTAACTCCAATCTTCACAGAAGGGAAGCTTCCTTGGTCTGAGGATGGACAAAGACCCCACAAAGCAAGCCAAGCAGACTTCCCCACAGTTCTTCCTCTTCAGCAGGAGCACCCCACCTTCTCAGCAGGATCAGAGCCACTTCAGAGGCTAACAGATGCTGAGCGGCTGCTCCTGCCTCCTGTATCTTGGCTCCCCCGGCTGCTCCAAGCTCCCCTCCCTGCCTGTATGTCAGGCCAGTCTAAAAGGGAGCAAAAGGGGTTTTCATGCTTTATACCTAAGCCACTCTGTTTCCCTTCTGATGAATGCCTGGCGTAGGAAAAGAGCCGGTACCCGCCAGATTTGGATGATTCGGACAACACCTGCAGAAAGAAATATTTGTAAAGCCAAAAGAGCCAAAAGAGAAGAGCCCCCACTCTTCAAAGGAAGAGAGCACCACCCCCAGGGCCACCCCTGCCTAGGTTGCAGCTGAGACACATTGCTCCCCCTCCACTTCCAGCTCCCCCACTCACCTCCATGGAGCCAGCCTTGCGGTTCCGGATCAAGGGTGACCGGCGTTGGATGCAGACCGGTTCTGAAGGCTGCGGGGACCGGGCCTCCGCCCTGTCTGTTTCATCGCTGCCCTTGGACTCAGCCAGGTCTTCCAGACTCCCCTGTTCTGGCTTTCTGGCCTCCTTCTGTAAGAAAGCCGAGATTGTGATGCTCCAAGCAGTGGGAACCTCTCTCTGGGCACGGAAGCTGCCTTGCTAACAGTAGGGAAGGAGAAGCAAGCTGGCTGGCTTTGGGCTGCCAAGACAGAATAGCTCTCCTTCCTTGCTTTTGCAGCTTGGTTGCTTAATATATTTGTGCCAAAGTTTTCTCTTTAAGAGGAAAACAGAGATAGAAGTATTGTTAGAGTAACAAGAAAAGATTACAGCTGTTTCTCTGTCACTCCTGCTGCTGCAGGAACAGCCTGACGCCCTGTGTGTGACAGGAAACACCCTGCTTTGGCATCCAGCTGCCCTCCAAAGAGAGGAGGTTCCCTGGACACAAGCTCACCTCTGCAGAGGCTGGGCGAAAGCCACACCCCGCTGGGGCACTGCCTTCCTCCTCGCAGCCTTTCACTCCGGGACTGAAATGCAACTCCACGTGGAACCTCTCCTTAGACGATGGGTCCTGCAGAGGCCACACAGTGGATGAGACGAGCCCAAGTGCTCAGCTGGCTCAGCTCTGGCCGGCCCCGCCCTCACCTTGTTGTTGTCCTCATACAGCATGATGACAATCTGGGTCATGTAGTTCAGCTCTGAAATGGCTCCTAGGTAGTCCATGGCTCTCTTCCACTGGGCATCTTTCGAGGCCTGGCATGGAAGGGAGTGGCAGAGGGAGGCCGGACTCAAGTCCTGGCAAAGCTGGGCAGGGAGCCCTGAGTAAGGGGGCCTTGGGGAGTTGCTGCTGCATTCCCTCCCCTCCTGGCTGGCCTCAGGTAAAGGCAACTCCCCTTCCTTCTGCAGTCCCACAGGACTCCAAAGCCCATCACACGGTCAGCTGCCCCTCAGGAGACCAGGACCAAAAGGAGGCTGAACAGGGAGCCACCAAAGAACAGCCATCTCTGGCACAAGTGCCCCGGTCCCTGAAACAGGAGGGCTCTGGACTCAGAAGCCTCTGTCAGCGGAGCTCATGCTGAGAAATGGAGGCAAAGCTCTGTGCAACACCCCGAACATGGCACCCCGAAGTGTCCTGGTGGTTGCTCCCAGCTTACATCTAGCAGGCCTCCATAGCGGAAGATGCTAAGCAGGGAATGGACGTGGCTCTCACTGGTGAAGTACAAACGTGTCCGGACATGGCGCCCTGGAGACAGGACTCCCCTGGAATACCTGCAAGCAGACAGGCCAGGGAACAAGAGTCACCCTGCTGGGCAGGCAGGGCTGGGTCACAAAGGCCCCCAAGGTCCCCTCTGCAAGCCCAGGAGCACAGGGACCTGTCATCAGCTGGCTTCCTGTATTCAGACAACCCAGCCCAAGCCCACCCTGTCAGGGGCAAATTGGGCATCTGTCCACATCTTACAAGGGGTGCAGCTTGTTGACAGACTCATCCTCGTGGGTTCGCTGCAGGTCCAGCTGGATCTTCTTGATGAGAGGCAGGCAAAAGCCCACCGCAATCTCCAGCTTCTCCTGCTGGCTGATGCCGTACTCCTGCAAAAGGCCAGAGTGTTTGCAGGCAGCCTCAGCACAACACAGCCTGACAGGAGTGTCTCAGCAGCAGAGGAGCGAGGCTTGCTCCATACCTGGGGGATGACAATGTCCGCCAGAGCCTTAGAGAGCCGGAGCAGCTCATGGGTGCCTTCCAGCTGCAGGCCAGCGTTGTGCTGGATGTCGTACTTGACACAGTCATAGATGTCAGGGATCTTGCTGATATCGTAACGTCGGTTCTTCAGTCGGAAGTCTTGCTCCAGCTTCCTCCAGCGTTGCAGCATCAGCTCCAGGGTCTCACTGTGGTACAGCTGCAAGTCTGCCAAGCCAGAACAATCCATCAGTGCCATGTGAAGAGACAGATCAGCTGAACCCTGGATGGCAGGCCTGCCATTGCTTACAACTCCAGAATTTCCGCAAGCAGCAACCCCAAAAATACTGCTGCTCAAGGACCATGTTTGGCTTTGAGAATCCAGAAAAACAAACTCTTTTCTGGGGGAGCAGAAGAGCAAGTGCCCTTTGGAGAGAGGAGCCAAATACAAGGCCTCCTAAACCCTGGGCCTCTTTCGCACTCCCCAGGACTTTGCCCCTTGGCCCCAGCTACTCTTCAAGAGTTTTATTAGAAAAGCAAAAAGATCCACCATCTCAGAAGCGGCCCACTGTGGCACGGGCCACATCAGTGGTGGGTTGCTACCGGTTCGCACTGTATCGGGTGAACCGGTAGCAGCGGCAGCGGGATGCTCCGCCCACCCGCCCGGAAGCTTCTGCGCATGCACAGAAGTGTCGCATGAGCCCACAAGTAAACCGGTAGCGATGGGTTTTGAAACCCGCCCCTGGGCCACGTCCATGCAACTCCTGCTTTTCTCTGCTGCAAAGGAAACGACTCTTGTACCCGCAGACTTAGGGTCCTCCAGACGTTTCTGGATCTGGGAAGTGAGGCTCTCAATCAGCTCAAAGACTTGTTCACAGGTCTCCACTGGATTCCCAATGATTCCCATGGACTTGATGAGCGAAGTACTGCCTGTTGGTGCCAGCTGGAGAGAAATCAGAGCAAAGGGTCAACGGTGCCCATGAGGGACCAACCAGGCTGCTGCTCAGATTTGGGCCAAGTGGCTCCACCATGCTCAGCTGGCATCTCTGGAGTTTAGGACTTGAAAGCAGAAGCCATTGGGAAATATAGTCTATTTCACTCCATCTTGAGTAATAAGAATATATAACATAGTATCATAGGTTTGGAAGGGATCTGGGAGGCCTTCTAGTCCATCCCTTGCTCAAGGCAGGAGACCTTATACCATCCTGGTCAAATGGTTGCCCCGTCTATTCTTGAAAACATCCAGTGATGGAACACCCACAACTCTGGTAGGCAAGCTATTCTATTGATTCAATCAAGAATCATTAATTAAATGTGCAACTATTGCCATTCACAAAGGCTACTCCTATGTCAACTTTAGGAACTGCATGTAAGTACACTTCTACTTATATGCCCTTATTATATTATTCTAATTGGATGCCAGTGAAGAGATGCCCAACCTTATTTTGATAAAGGTTCATTTCTGACAGTTTTTAAGATAAGCAAAAAAAAAAAAAAAAAGAGAGAGAGAGAGAGAGAGAGAGATGACACATCCATAACTCCTGTGTAAACTCTCCAAGCTTTTAGTAACTCAGGTTTGTTGAAAATTGAATTATGTTATAGGAATCACATGTAGTCCTAACAGTTCCTGTGGTGCTCTCCCTCCAGCGCTGTTGATACTTTTATAGAGCTGTTCTCATTCCTGAATGCCTTTTTCTGAATTGTCGCTATTCACGTGATGGCTCTATATTGGGGTAATCAGAATGATTTCCTTTTTTATACTTTAATACCCATTAAGGAGGCAATATGTCAGGAGACGTTCAAACCTTGCAGAGGAATGGTTAGTTCTTCAACAAGCTTAGGTTTGGCAATGCTGTCCATTTTGTGCAGTCGAGCTAGATCCCAGGTGAAGGTGAACCAAAACCATCTTTATTCTGGGATATCACTCCTTAGAAACCTGTTGCAAGACCTCCCTGGATGGATTCTTTCTTAAAGGGCTCTAAACCCCTGGGGGATAGTAAAGTATGGCAAAGTTTACAGCGTTCCCTCCTTAAGGGAGGCCTTCTTTTTCTTCTTGGAAAAATGAGCTTTAGCAAGAGGTTTTGGATCTGGCTGGCTTCTCCTCCAGAGAAGCTGTGTATAAAACTGCAGCCTTCAATAAAACCACCAACAATAGAACAAATACTCCTTGTAAAATTACATTAAGCAGGATTCATTTTTAAAAAGGCAAGAATAAGATGGCCTCATGTTAAGTTCGATTTTCTAGTGGCTTAATGTACAACTCTGTGCAGTTTGGCCTTCTGCTAGGATTGATGTTTGATTTCCATGTTTAGGGGCAGCGCGAGGCCTCAGCGGTTGAGATGCTGGGCTTGTCAGCTGGAAAGCTGGCAGCTGAGGTTCAAGACCCAAGCACTACATCACAGGGTGAGCTCCCGTTACTTACCTCAGCTCCTGCCAACCTAGCAGTCTGAAAGCTTGCAAATGTGAGTAGATAAATAGGTACCGCTTTTGGGAGAAGCTAACAGCGTTTCATATTTTCATGCAGGCCACATGATCACAGAAGCACCGTTGGACAATGCTGGCTCCCTTGGCTAAGAAACAGAGATGAGCTCTGCCCCCTTGAGTTGGAAACAACTAGACAGGGGAAACCTTTAAAGCTTTTTCGGCACAGCCTGGAAATCTCCCATCAAAGTCAGTCCAAGCCTGACCATATTCATCAGGCAAGGCTACTGCTGCCACCTGCTGAGACGGCCCTGCAGATGCCTGAGGAAGAAACTGCCTTGGCTGACTGGCCGGAAGCAAAAGGATTTAGCGAAGCAGCTTTCCAGAGTTTTGCACACAACTGGACAGCACAGAGGGACACCAATGTCCACCTTGAGCCATGGGACAATGGGACATCTCCCATTGAAGTCCAGCAGGCAGGAAAGGGCCACCATGTAATTCCCAACACATTATGCTGCCCCAGAATTACCTCGTGTCCAGTGTTGCAAGAAAATCCACATGGTAACACTCTACAGCTCTCTCTCCCAGCAAAGATAAGAAACAGAGCAATCAAGTCTACTTTTATACCGGGGGTGTCAAACTCAAGGCCCGGGGGCTGGATCTGGCCACGGGGTGCTTAGATCTGGCCGCCATGGAAACAGTGAAGGACCAGCCCGCAGTGCCTCTGCCAGCGAAAATGGAGCTTGGGAGGGCTACGTGTGATCCTCCCGAGCTCCCTTTTCTCTGGCAGAGGGTTGCTGGAGGTCTTTGCAGCCAAAAACAGAGCTCAGGAGCCAGTTTTCGCTGGCAGAGTGCTTGGGCCGCCACAGGCACCCCCGACAGGAGTGACATTAGGCTGGCCATGCCCACCCCAGACCCCCAAGGTCAAACACAACCCTGATGTGGCCCTCAATGAAATCGAGTTTAAATAAATCTAGCAGTGGAGAAATAAGATAATTAACTGATGTTATGTAAGAGATTATGAATGAAGAGTGATTAGTAATATTGTTTACATATTAAGAAGAAAATAAGATAAGATAAAGAAAATATGAAAAGAGAATATTATGGCTGAAATTGGAAACAGAGATATGATGTAAAATGGGAACAACATGACAGAAGCTGAAATAATAGGATATGGTGAAAAATGATTAATTTGTGATAAAGGATTATATATAAGAGATGAATATTGAAAAAATGGGAAGATTAGAATAGATTATAAAGATTATTATGTATAAAATGTATAAGATCATAAAATATGTTTATAAAATAAAATATGTATGATAAAAAGAGGTATGTATCATATGTATGTATAATGAAAGAAAAATTCTAATAAAACTTGTTTACCAAAAAAAATAAATAATGAAATCGAGTTTGACACCCCTGTTCTATACGATAATGCATTTAAGGAATATGGTTTTTTCCACGTGGCTGAGTGGGCATCTTGCCCAGGGAAAGGGTTTCTGGAGCTGGGTGACCGCAGTCCAGCCCTCAGACTCCAGGCCCTCTCAGTGCCAGACTTATCTGGTTAAGTTGGGCCTCCTGAAGCTTTATAGCTGTGACCAGCCAGGGTTTAGGAAAAAGGCTGCGGCCTTCACCACCACCCTAAGCTCCTCATCTTCAACTTGAGAGCGGATGAACCAGATCAGGCCAAGGTCCCTTGCCTGCCAGAGCCCTTTCTTTGCAAAAGATCTTTGCAATTCTTTGAACAGCAACCTTGGGAAGGTCTTGGCAGGGGCACTTCCAACAATTCCTCTAGCAGCTAGTGCTCCTTTGTGCCTCCACAGAGAGACTAAAACGTCAGCCACAGAACAGAGCTGCCATGCCCAGTTGCCACAGAGCACAAAGGCCTTGGAGCTGTCCTATTCAGAGAGGCTTCCCTTCAGCCAGAGCAGCAGCAAAAGGCCATAGCAGCCCGATAGAACAACCTTTGGCCTGCCTTTCTACTGCTACTAAAGTTTGGGATCTTTCAGCCATTTTGCTGGAATTGGGGTGCCTACAAAAGCCTTTCTCAAGGCCAAAGAAATGCACCTCCATCACCTTCTCATAGTCCTCTGCGCAGAACGAGACATCTTTCTGCATGATTTCCCGCAGACGAGCCTTCACCCGGTGCTGGCAGCTGCTGAGGGAGTCACTGTCACTATCCAGCAGGCCATTCATGTTGGCACTCTTCACCATTTGCACTAGGATGGGCGTCAGCTCTCCCTCCAGAGCAAGTAGGCCCTGTGGGAAGACATGGCTTTAGCCTCCCCCCACCCCACCCTGCAAAAGAGGGCCCCTGCTCTAGTCAGGCAAGTGCTGGGAGGACCCTGAGGGTGAGGAAGGGACCCAAGCCCTCCTACAGCTCCTGCTGGCCTGACTGGAATTCCCCCTCCCAGGAACCTTTGCAAATGCTGCTGCCGTCATCTGGACTCTGCCCTCATCGGAGGCGTAGATCTTGAGATCGTGGCGGTAGGTGCTGTGCAGTCGAAGGAGGCCACAGCCTGGAAAACCAGCATAGTCTCCTGGGCAGGAAAGAGAAACTCTGTGGCCATTCCAGAAGTGTGGGCATTTTATTTTCGCAGTGCCCTCTTCAAAGGGCAGAAAATCCACTGAGCGGGCAGAGTTGCCAGAGCTGCAGGTCAGAGTATTGGAAGAGACAGCGACTCCAATCAGATAAAAAGGAGGCAGGATGGATAAGAAGAGCTACAAATATCCAACTGGAGAAGCCCTAAATTCTCTTCCTGTCAAAACCAGCCCAAAACTTCACAGCACACGCCCAAAAGTCCTTCTCACGAGCACCAAAGAAGCTCATGGCCCACGTGCCCAGTTTCCAATCACCATCATTCTTCCCTCTGCCTTCTGCTGTTTTCTGGCTGGCTGTTCCAGGAAGATTGTGGGGTTCTTTCCTGCTTTGAGACCAGCAGCTGTGCTGTAGGCATGGGGCTCAGACCCAGAGGAGCCACCTGCTGTCACTGGAGCCCCACTCCAAAGCACAGAAGACCAGTCTGGCTCACAGCAGCAGCCCCCTCCAATGACCTACAGGTGTCCATGCCATCCTCTTGCAGTTCAACCAAAAAGGAGAACTGGGTACCTGTTGTGTCAAGAAGGCCTGAAGGTGCCTAGTTCATCTACAATGGACCTTCTGTATTTTGGCTTGGGAGGGAGAGGAAGATGATATCTCCCCCAGCTCACAACAGGGATGGGGGCACAAAGCAGTTAAGAGTGCAAGGGAGAAGGATCTGGCCCAGAGACCGCATGCATGATAGGGAAGTGGGAAACTGCCAAAGGTGTTGTTGGGAGAAGAGAATGTGGGCTGAGGCAGCTTTAGATGGGAGAGGCCAGGAGTTCAGGGCTTGCTGTTTGCTTCCTGCTACCCATGCAGAACCATCATGGCCATCCAATGACTGGAAGAGCAGGAAGCAGGATGCCAAATCACAGCTTCTAATGGGAGGCTCAGGAGCGAAATCTTGAGGACAAGCAGGACTGACCCCAAAAGGTGCAGCTCAACCCTCAGAGGGAGCCAACTACACAGAACATCAAAGATCTACTCTATTCACAAAAGTGTTCAATAAACTTCTGAATTCTTAAGACCACTTGATCAGGAAAGGTCAGTTTCACCCATAAGGCCATCTTGCCTGATGAGAAGTTTTGAGTACTCAGAAGTTGGCCTGCTGCCCAGGACCATGGAGGCTGGATGGGGCTTCCAAGGCAACCCCGATTAGAGCCCTTAAGATCAACAAAGTGCTGCAATCCAATTCCACCAACCAGCCCAGAAGATCCTTTTGGTGCAGATGCAGAGGCCAAAGGATGCTCTTCCTCCTTCTGAAGGGAGTTTCCTTTCCAAAGGACCCCACCTTGGAGGTGGCTACCAAGATGCTGTCAGCTGCAGCCTCTGCCTTCCCCTAGAGCCAGCAAGCAAAGCCCAGGCTCACCTTGGCCCCCTGGATACATGCAGCGGAAGGCTCGGCCCAGCTCCTCCGCTTGCACTCGGCCGGCAGGAGTCAGCTCGCCCCCCCACTTCAGCACCAACAGCAAAGACGGGGAGGCTTCCTTGAGATCTGCACACAGAGAGAACAAGAGTCATCTCCTGCCAGGGCTGGGGCGGAATGGCAATAGCGCTTAGACTTGCAGTATATACCACTTCACGATGCTTCACGGTGTTCTCTGAGTGGTTTACAGCCTCTTGCCCCCAACAATCTGGGTCCTCATTTTACCCACCTCAGAAAGATGGAAGGCTGAATCAACCTTGAGCCAGTGACAGTTGGCAGTCAGCAGAAGTAGCCTGCAATATTGCATTCTAACCACTGTGCCACCACAGCTCTTGAATGAAGACCTACCACCCACTCTTCAACCTCCGGAGCAGAGCAGAGAGGCAAGAACTGGTGAAACCGGATGAGGGGAGGAGAGAAGGTTGCTAGGGGCCTCTGAGGCCTGGAAGCTGCACAAAAATAACCTCAGTTCTGCCCCCCCCCATTGGCACTTTTCCCCTAAGTGGGGATTGTTTGGCAAGTGCAGTGGGAGGGGGAGCAGTAGCTCCACTTTTTTACAAGGGTTGGCATTTCAACTGAAGCTTTCTCAGCTTACATTCTCCATTTTCTCCTTGCTTCAGAATTTTTACTTGGAGTTGGGGGGTTTTCTGGAATGTTGACAGTGTACCCCATTTGCCCATCACACAGAATGCCCCTCCTTGTGTCTATAGATACGTGCATGCAATCAGGGTCTTCATCCTATGAAATTGGCAGGGCTCTCCTGCAACCCCCATCTTCCCCCACGGCTGCCTTCATGCCCTCCCCCCACTACAAGACCCCAATACCTGCCTTCCTCCTCATTGGATGCCTTCAGGTGCCCATGAGGCAGGTAGGTCAGTTGCACTTTGCGGTTGATTCCAGAGAAGTGCCCGTACCTGCCAGAATAACAAAGGGCCACTGTTCTGGGCATGAAACCTCTGGCTTTACCCACCACAACTGGAGAAGCTGCAAGGGCATCCAACTGCCTCCCTCCTGCCCAGGGTTCTGTTGTGGTGTAGGAGGAAGTGCCCCAGTCAGAGGGAGTCCATTCTTTCTGGGGACATGCAAGAAAGTGCAAGAGTTGCTTGCAAGGTTGATCTTACTCTCCCAGAGGTTGGGGGGGGCAGAGGGGCCATGGAGATAAGTCGCTGCTCACATTTCTAACACGGTCTTGAGTTGCTCCAGTTTCGACTTCTGTTCCTCGGCCACCGCATCCCCGAGAGCACCCTGCTCCTGCACCAGCAGCCGAGCAATGTCCAGCACCTCCTGTCGGGGCAAAGGCTTGCTCAGGTCTGTGGGCTCAAGGGCTCTAGGAATCAAAGGCACAGGCTCCTTAGCCGCATCTCTTGGCCCCCCAGGAGCCCCCCATCCAGTAAGATAGACACAAGACTGACCAATGGAGGGCGAGAGCTTCATCGGCATGGCTCCTCTAGGACCAAAGGGAGCCCCAAACTCACCTGAAGCTGCTCTGGCTTTTTCAGCTTCAGCTTCCCAGTTTTGTAGCCCTCGTATTTTTCAAACAGAACAAAGAATCTGGCAACAGCAGAAGCAGAAGCAAAGCAGGTTACTGACATTAGTGGTTGTTTGCTACAATTATGCATGCTCTTTCTTGGGAGCTCATTTTGTCCTGGAACCTTTTTGTCCTGCAGAAGAAGCCCTGGCTCCAAGACACCCAGGGACTCCACCATACCTGGGATGCTTCACTTCCATCTTCATCTTCTGTTTGGGGGTCCGATCACCATGCCTTATAACTGCAATCACACACCGTAGCTCCATCCTGCAAGAGAGATGCTTGAGCTCATAGGATGCCCCCCACCCCTCCTTCCTTCCTACAATGGCCAATGCCTAGGAGATCCCAAGGCCTACTCTGACCAGGACATCTCAGCCCCGGATCCTGGGAAGCCAAAGCCGAAAGGACTCTCCTCTCATAATGCTATCCACGCATGAAGGAAAAGCCTTCCGTGGACTACTCTTCTCTCTCCTGAGCTCTGAAAACCACACAACCGTGGCAGAGAATGCAAGATCCATGTGTGCATCCTAAGTGGATCTCTAATTGGAAGCAAGCTAATCAGCCTGCAAGAAAGATTCCCTGAGCCAAGGCTTTAGAGGTAACAGAGAAGCAGCCTTCTGCACAGCACCAGCAAGGGTCCCAAGACTGAGAAGCTGCCAAGGAGCGCTGCCTTAATTAAAACCAGGCAAAGACTTTATTTTAATCCAGAGTTTAAGGTGCTAATTCATCTTTCTTAGTTTAGAAATGTGAAGATGGCTCTAAGTGTAGAACAAGACAGGAAATGTTAGAAATAATTGGAAAATTCTATTCAGAGCTATACAAAGATCAAGATCACTGAAAAGTGACTCACAAAAGAGGAAATGCCAGATATCTTACTGGAGGAACTATCAAGTGCCATAAAATCAATGAAAAATGGCGAAGCTTCAGGAAATGATTGTGTTACGGTTGAAATGCTAAAAGCTGGTGATCACAGTTCACACAAGATATTAGCAAAACTATACTCAAGATGCCTCAGAGAAGAAAAAATACCCAATGCTGAAGTGATTCTTATACACAAGAAAGGGGCCCAAGATGATTTAAAGATCTATCACCGAATAAGCCTTCTCTCAGTCATCTACAAGGGTTTCACCAAGATAATAGCAAAAAAAATGTTGAGAACATTAAATGATGCACAGCCAAAGGAGCAGGCAGACTTCAGAAGTGGCTACAGCATGATGGATCACATCCAGGTTGTTCATCAAGTCATTGAAAGGTACACCAGGCCTCTGTGCGTGGCTTTCATAGACTACGAAAAGGCATATGACTCAGCATTCCAGCAAGCAATAATTAATGCATTGCTCAACCAAGGTGTAGACACTGCTTACATAAACTTATTACAATCAATATATGAAAAAACATTGGTGACAATTTGCCTTAATGATCTTAAAGTGGAAATTGACATAGAACAAGGTGTATGATAAGGCGACACAACCTATCCTTTTCTCAGCCTGCCTTGAAAAAGTATTTCACAAACCAGGCTGGGCAAAAGATGGAATAAAAATCAATGGCGCCTATTTAAATCACTTAAGATTTGCAGATGAAGATATTCTCTTCTCACAAGACCCATAAGAGCTACAAAGACACATACAAGAGCTACACAAAGCAGGAGAACCATTTGGCTTAAAAATAAAACTGAAAAAGGGCCAGGTTATGTTTAATAAATTTACCAAAGAAAGAAAAAAAATTGTATCTGGAGAAGAACTAGATGTAGTAGACATACCGTATACCTTGACCAGCGGATTTCAATGGAAAGTGATACAATAAAGGAAACAGAACAGCTAAATGTGGTTGGCAGGCATTCGGCAAGCTAAACATAATTTTCAAGAACTACCTCCCCCTATGCCTGAAGAGAAAAGTTTTTGATCAGTGTGTGCTACCTGCTCTAACATATGCCAGTAAAACACAGACACTCACCTCACAATAATACAAAAGCTAAGAGTGGCGCGAAGAGCCATGGGAAGATACATGCTCGGTATCACAAGACAGAAAGACCTGCACATGGATTAGAGAACAAACACAAGCATATATGCCATCAGGAGAGTCAAAGAATTGCAGTGGAAATGGGCTGGTCACATAGCAAGAAGAACTGAGGGCAGGTGGACCAAGGCAGTTATAGAATGGATCCCACTTGACAAAAAGCGCCCACAAAAGAGACCTAAAACAAGATGGATCTATGACATCAGCAAGGATTGTGAGCCCAAGTGGCAAAAGGAAGCTCAGGACTGTATTGGTTGGAAACATGTGGAAGAGGCCTTCATCCTGCAGTGGATAGACAATGACTAAGATGATGATGATGATGAAATTTAGAGCTATAAAATCTCAAATTTAAATTTTTATAGAACATTTAAGCTTTTACAAAACCCCTTGTCTTTTTCAAGATTCTGATGACCAAACGCCACCTACATTTGCAATCACTGTTGCCACAGCCCCAGAAAATATTGCTCCATTTTTCTTCACTATCAGCAACATGCAGGGAAAGAGAACAGCTGGAACATCGTGCCCTGGGCTCTCCGGCCATGCTGGCCTGGCCTCCCCCTTGGCTTCCCTGAACCTCCTATAGCCGAGCCTCAGAACTTGGGCACTGATTTCAGCTGAACTCCAGGAGCTGCTGTGGGCCTTCAGCCCAAAAGGGACCCCTCCAAAGTCTTAGAAGAAGAAGAGGGAAGGGTAGCATTTCACCTGATCTGTTTTTGTTATGAACACTTCCAGAAGCTCCTGCGCATTAGCAACTCCACATCTTGTTGTTATCAGAAAATCCAACAATATCATAAATAGGACCCCAAACCTACGTGGTCTTTCTGAAAAAGATTGTGTCTCCTACTGACAGGCCAACCTCAGGAGCCATCATCACAAGTGGTGAACAGAAAGGGAAGCATGGCCGGCACAGCCAACACTAACATTGTCCCTGAAGTGGTGGGCACAATGGGGATGTCTTCTGCTTCAGTGGGGATGGACCAGGGGATCTGGAACTGGGGAGCCATTTCACGCATGATGATGTTCCTGGCAGGGAGAGGAGAGACTGGTTGGAAACCACCTCTCCCAGTTTTGCAATAGGGCCACCAGCCCGTGGCAGACTGGATTCAGACCATTCGTGCTCTGATCCCCTCCTCCTCCCCTTCCAGGAGGGGACGATCAACTGAAGCACCACACACCCAAGGAGCTTGGCACAGTCATCATAGTACTTCATAGAGTTCTTCACAAAACTGAAGCCGTTGACATCACAGACGAAGGACTGGCCATTGGCCCGCAGTAAGTCAAAGCCGCACACTGTCTGCTGCAAAGGGTGACACGAGTCCCAAGGGAAGTGACACAGAGCTCTTTGAGGCACTCTACCAATAGAAGGAGCCCCTCAGCCCCACCCTACCACCCTGGCCAGGGGATTGCAGGAGGAGGTAAACACAACAGAGAGAGCCCCCATTTCTCTGTCACACAGTTTTAGCAGGGAGATGCAAAGCAGCACCTACAGCCTGAGACTTTGGAGCCAGGGAAGAACATTGACTTACTCCATTTGAGGAGGAGAGGGTGGCCCCAAGACCTGTCCAGGCATTCCAGGCTTCAGCAACAAGAGCTAAGAACTTCAGGGAGGGCTCCAGGAGGCCACAAGTCAGAGGGAAAGACTAACCTTGAAGGCCACACAGACTTTTCGGGCCACCAGCTTCTCTATGGCTGTTAACATAACTGGGTAGCGGATCTCCTTTCCTTCGCTATCCCGTTCCACCTTCCCATCAAGAGCAGGGGACTTCCGTGCCTCGGCGTGTGCGTAGTCGGGACCCACCGTGTAGACCTGAATGAAAGAACACCAGCAATGTCACCCCACTCAGAGCTGCCAACAAAGGGACCTTGGTCACCAGGCTGCCTGCCCAGCTCAGATAACTCCTCTCCCCATAAACACCCCCTCCTACCTTGACATCCGTGCCATCTGTAGGCATGAACTCCTCATAAATATACGATCCGGTCTTCCGTACGCTGCTCTCTGGAGAGTAGACGCTGCTACGGCTCCCAATCTGGAACAGTTCGGGAACTCAGCTAGAGAAGTGAGCTGCACCTCAAAAAAGATGGGCCACGAGCCCTGGAGCAACTGATGCCTCACACAAAGAGGCAAAAGACACCTCCACCTGGACAGCAGGGCCTGAGACGAACAGGCAGGGGTAACAAAAGCCCAGGAACGTCCCCTGGTTTGAGGCACAAAATGTAATGGATTCCTTATGCCAGGATTCCCCAACTCCTGGGCCATGGCCCACTACCTGTTTCAAACTGGTTCGCGCAAGCAATGAGCAAGCGCGCACACGCATAAAGCTCCACTCACAAGAGTGGTGGGCAAGCAGATGTGCGAAGCTCCACTCATACTAGCGGTGGGTACTTTAGCTCACGCATGAAACTCCACTTGCCCAAGCAGAGGGCACTCCTGTGCAAAGTTCCATTTATGTCATTGGAGCTTTGCACGTGAGCTCAAGGGTCTCCATTCGCACAAGTGGAGGTTTGCGTGCATGCAAGCACCCTCTGCTTATGCACGAAGCTCCATTCACGTGAATGGGGACTGCCTGCACCCGCCGCTCAAACCAAATGAGTTGTGTGCACGTGCGTGTGCCTACCACTCACATACCCTCCCCCCCACGCTGGGCCAGGCCACCGAGGTGGAAAGGTTGGGGACCCTTGCCATATGCCACTACTTATTTCATACCAATGGTGTTTAAAATGGAAAAGATGAAGTTATTCCTGTTGTTCAATAAAACAAAAGTGCATTCCTATGTACATAACCTCAGTACCTTCATTCCAGCAGAGCCAAATCAAAATTGCTTTAATCAAAATCTTAACCAATTTCTGGAATTCAGATTTCCACTTTACTGAAAGGAAGGAAAAGTACTCCGGAAATGCACATTACCTTAACTTCTCAAATCTGGCACCTGAAAGGGGACCCAACCTTTCAGAAGACCCCCAATTAGAAGACCCTGGTGCCAGTGAATCGCCCCTTCAATATTTGACATTGATTGTACTGTGCCCTGTCTCTTTGGTTTGGGATTACTGCTTTGGTTGTAACTGTAAAAATGCATTATTCACACAATCTCCTGAAATAGAGATGATAGCCAAGTTACACTGCTATTGGGAATGCCTCTCATCAGACAGATGGTGCTCCAGCCAAAGCCACGGTCTTCTCACCTTGCGGAAAAGGCGCTGGCTGCCCCCGCCAGCCGAAGAGGGGTAGTAGATGTAGACGTTGTGGTCCTCAGCACTGACTGGCTTTTCCACAAAGGGCTTGGGGAAAATGGCCCCATTGACTTCCACCTGGTCTTCCCCCTCCACCAGGCTGCACTCTGCACAAACACACAGGGCCTTCAGAGACAGGAAGCTGACACCCCCCCCCAACTTTCCTTTCTTGGGGAGTTACAGAGCCTCCAGGCTTCTCCAGACACCCAGGATCATCCTTGGAGGAGGCTGGGTCTGGCTCTGAGTGGCAGGGAGGGGGAAAGGCTGGAAAGCCACTATGCAAAATGGCTGCACTAAGGGGGGCAGGGGGCAGATCCTGCTGCAACAAGAGCATTCAAAGGAATTGGGCACACCTGAAGATGAGGCAAGGGGACTAACTGGTGGTGAGTGGGTGGAGGGAAATCTGTAGCCTAACAGAGGATCAAGGAAAACATAGTGCTAGTCTAGACCAGTACTGATGATGTTACCTAGTTTGGGTAATGAAATGTCTGCAAAAATCCCGCCAAGCTCAGAGAATACCAAAGACTCCTCATTTGAACCTTGAGTTACAAAGACTTTCCTTTATCAATCAAGGAAAAGAGCAGCTCTTTAGCAGACATCAGCCTGCAAAGCCGAGTTCTGAGCCCTCCTGGTGCTTCTTTGCACACAAGACAGAAGCTGCTTCCTTTCCCGAGGCCATCGGCCAGAGGCCCAGGGCACCCTTCAGGCCACTCTTCCTCTCCTGGAGGCTCTCCTGGAAATGCTCTGGGCAACAAAGGAGACGGCCCTGCACAACATCCATTTTCTAGGTTTTCACAATGCCTCTTAGCCCTCCCCAACTAGGTTGCACAAATCCAGCCACACGTTGTGCATTCTCAGGCCCTGGTCTACACTGGGGGTTTAAGGGCAGCCCAAGGGGCACCTTCCTGCTTATCTGGCAACTGATCCCCTTGCCTTGCCTCCAAAGTGGGCCAGGGAGGAGGCTCAGCCCTGCTTGCCCCACACTCACCCTCTGGGCGATCAGGGTCCCGGTTGAGCACCGCATAACGAGGCAGGTCTACTCCCTCCTCCTGCAGGATCCGGTACACCTCCCGCCTACAGAGGATGGAAACACAGGCAGGAGTCTCTGGCTGAGGGGACACGACTGATGCCCCCCCTCCCAGTTGGCCAAAGCACACTTCAACTTGGCCACATTTGGACCAGAGATAAGCGAGGGATTTTACTTCTCTCCAGTCTGCCTTGCCCTTCCCTGCTGGTGGTGGTAGCCCAGTTAAGCAAATTCCAGCTTCTAAGCCACTTCCACCCAAAATGACCCAAAGATCTGGTGCAGATTCAGCCCGCTGTTGGAGGCACAACGCAGCCCATAATACCCCAGCAAGTGTATTCACCTCCACAACCCTACCTGTCCTGGATGTAATATTGCATATCAAGGTCGTTAATCAGAAAAGGGTTGCGGAGCTTGGCATAAGCAACAGCTTTGTCCAGTGGGAACCCTGGAAGATTCGGGGAGGAAAACCATGTTGACCACCAGCTGAGCACCCAGGCAGAAGAGGAGCCGGGACGCCAGCTGGCCAACCTTTGGAGTGGAAGGAGATGAGGCAGTCGCAGGCCGGCCACTTCTCCACCGGCTCGTTCAGGATGACATCTTCCCCCATGATCACCACCGCAATGTATTCAAACTTGCACAGCCGCTCCAGGATTTGGGTCATGGGCTTGGATTTGGACTTTTTGGTCATGGCGCAAATGCCAACCACAATCTGCCGTTCTGGAGGCTGCAAGAGAGCCGCAGCAGCAGCAGCGTCACCTTGGGCAGTGGGTGGTCTGACCACAGGAGGCTCTTCCTTAAAGTCAGGCACAAAAGCAAAACGGGGTGGGGGGGCACAGAAACACGCGCAGGCCAGAACTAAGGAGGACTTCCAAGAGAAGAGGAAGGGGCCCCGCCAGGCTTCCAGCTTCCCTGCTAGAAGCCCCCAGAAGCACAAGAGGGAACACCTCCCACCCCCGGGATGCCCTCCAGGGGACTTCCAGCCCACTTCCCTGGTCAGCTCTCCCCGACTTCCCTCCGCCTCAAAGCCAGCAAGGCTCCTTCCGAGGCAGGCGGCAGCAAGAGGCCCCTTTACCGACTCTTCCTCCTCCTCCTCCTCCTCCTCCTCCTCAGCCTCAAAGAAGGGCAGCTCTTCCATCTTCAGCTCTGCGCCCGGGAAATCCACCTCCTCATCTCGACAGCCCAGGAAGAACTTAGCCGCGGAAGCGCCCTCCTTCAGCTCGGCCGTCCAGGACGACATGCCAGAGCGCGCAGCCAACCATCCCGCTCTGCAACGAGCAGGCCGGCGTCACCAGCGGCCGCCCAAGGCGCCCCGCCCGCCCGCCCGCCCGCCCGCCCGCCGGAGCCTTACACTGCCGCATCCTTCGGGCTGCGGGCGGCCTCCGGAGGCGGAAGAGGAGCGAGCGGCGCCCGGCCTGTCCTCCCGATCTTCGCAGCCTGCCAGGACGGCGCGCCTTCGGCCGGCGGGGCCGCGGGAGCCACCCGGAAGCGCTCGCGCTCCGGCCGGGCACCAGCGGGCAGGCGGGCCGGCCTCCCGGACGCGCCAGCCCCGCCTGCCAGAGCGGCCGCCGGGCGGGGAGGCGCTTGGCTCGGCCGAGGCTCCGCCCGGCGCCCACCGCCAGACCGCCGCCCCCGCCCCGGCTCTGCCGGCCGAGGAGCCGCCCGCCCCCTCCCTCCGGGGCAGAGAGCGTCGGGGAGCGGGCTGGTTCAAGCCGGGGCAGGAGCCAGGCGGGGGCGGGGTAGCTCCGAGCCCAGTTGGGCTTGCGCAGGAATCCAAAGGCCGGCGGGCGCAGCTGGCAGCGGTCACCTTGACACACCTGCCCGCGCGGGGGCAAGCAAGTCCAGCGGAGGCCCCGCCTCCTGGCCCTCTAGGTGGCAGCCAGCCCCGCCCCGCCGGCTCCAAGAGGTCTTCCCGGGCCAGGAATTGCACCGGCTCTCTGCCGTCTCATTCCTTTGGGCCCATTGCTCTAATCTCGGGTGCTTTATGACCGCGATTGAATGTTTCTCGTGTCTTTCATGGCGTCGGCTCTCCCACTCAGGTTTGCATTCTCTCCATCCCCTCTGCCTCTCCATCTCTAAGAAAAACGTTGACTACTTTGGGAAGACTGAAATTGGAGGGAGACCTTGTGCATCACCGGTGCTGGGAGGGGGCGGGCGGGCGGGGCAAGCAAATGCAGCTGCAAAGAGGGTGACCAGTGTCCAGAGGAAATGCAAGCGCAGGTGGGGAATAAGAATGATGGGGAATAAGGGGCCCTTGGGGCTCTCTGTGCTTGGTTGTTTTCTTGCAAATGTTTCATGAGCCAAACCAGGCAACATCATCAGCACTGCAAGAAAACAACCAAGCTCAGAGAGCCCCAAGGATCCACCCCTCATTTCAACTCAGTGCTACAAATATTCTCCTTTATTGATGATGGAGAGTCCCTGATAAGGGAAGAAGAGAAGGGGAACTTATCATCAGTGTCCTGGGGTGGAGGCTGTCACATTGCTCTCCATCTTGTCCCTTCCCCCACTGGCTAAAGGGAGCTTGTTTACACCCAGTTTTTTTAGCATCTCCCCTCGGACCCTGATGGACCGTGGACCATCAACAAGTCTCTGGGAGCTCCGAGGGTGGCAGTGCGGCTGTGCAGCCGAACACCTTTCCGAGGGTGTTGCTCTCTGTCTCCCTTGCTAGCAAACTGGAAGAGGAGAAATCCGACATGCCAAATATGCAGGAGGGGGCGAGAGATGGGCTACACTACCCTGATTGACCAGTCAAAGTCTTCTTTTCCCACGGGGAGGGGGACAGTCGACCAGACAAGAGCCCGGAACAGGCTGTGCCCAGCCTGAGGCTTGTCAACTGGAAAATACCTGCCTGCATCCCAAGGCAGCCACCCAAAGGTTCCCCGTGCAGCGCCCTTCAGCCGCTGGGGAGTCCTTGGGGTCCCTATGCGCCAGAAGAAGGAGGGGTCTGCAGAGAACAGTGCCTGGTGGGGCGCTGCGTCTGGCCAGAGCAGCAGCGGATCTGCTCAGCATTTCTCAGCGCAGCCTCTTGCTTATCCTCTTGCCTGGGGAGGTCAGTTTTGGGGAGGTCGGGGAGGACCTTGGATGAGAATCTTATTGCACAAAGAAGCTTCATTCATCCCCGTGAAATATCTTGGTGAACAAACTAGATCAGCTCAGCTTCAAAGTATTGCGGAACTGCCCAGGGGCTCGTTTGTTTGCTTGTCTCTTCTCTTCTCTGCATGTCCCGGGGCGGGTGAAAAGGTGCCCAACCGGGAGCGGGGATGAAGGCAGCAGGTACCAGCCAGCCTCGCCCAAGGGGACGAGGAGAGCCTTCTCCAGAGCAGCCAGATTCCGACACTGCCGCCGCGCTCAGGAGCCGCGCTGGAGGAGGAGGAGGAGCGCTGAGCCAGGACATAGCCGCCGGGCTGCGGGGATCGAGGGCCGGCGGGGGGTGGCAGCAATCGGAGGTCGCCTGCCGCCCCCGCTCTTACGGGCCGGTGGGGGTGCTGCGGGGTGCCCTGCCCTGCCGGCGCTGTCCAGGCCGGGGTCGGTGCTGAAGCGCGCTCTGGGCGCCGCAGCCGCGCGCGGCGCTTCGGGCGAGGCCCCTGGGCTGGGTTGGGCCGGCCGGGCCGGCGCTAGGGCGGCGTAATCTCCGCGCTCCCCTCCCCGCGAGCCTTGCATTGGCGGTGCGTCTCCTCCCGCCTAGCTGTGCGAAGTCCTCGCCCGCCCGCGGCTCGCCTTCCTGCTTCGCGCCTTCGCTGCTCAGACTCCCCGCGGCGGCACCATGTCCAGCACCTTCGCCCGCGCCCTCTCCGCCCGGAGATCCGCCGCCCTCCTGGCCGCTGTGGGCGCCGCCGGCTCTCTGGGCGCCGGCTTCCTCTTCTCCCGCGACTCCGTCGGCCCCTCGGAGAGGTCCAAGCGGCGCCTCTACCCGCCAAGGTAGGGCTCCCGGGGCGACTAGGGATGCCCTTGAGGCGGCGACCCCCGGGAGGGCACCTCGGAGCTGGAGCGCGGGGCCTGGGACGCCGTGGCGGAAGGCCGGCGGTCCCCTCGAGGAACCAGGTCCCTTTCTCGGACCCTCCGTGAACTGAGGAGCGCGCCGCTCCCTTTTCTCCCGCGCCGCAACACTGAGGCCGTTGGGTTTGGCCTTCGGGCCAAGAGAAAGAGGGAGTTTGCTTTGTTCAGAAAGAGGGAGTCTGAACGACCTCCAGAAAGGGGGGGGTCAGGGCCGCCAACCGGACTCCTGCCTTCCCAGGACACCCAGGGGTTGCTTCCTCTCCCCAGCGCAGCTAAAGAGAAATGCAGTCGGCTTATGCTCTGGAGCCCTCTCTGTGTCAGCTCCTTCGGGGCCTTCGGGCTCTGGGTCTCCCCCATCCCACAAAACAGCACTAATCTAGGGGTGATTATCCTCCCAAGAAGGGCCCTGGAAGCATCCCCCAACCCTGGGCAAAGCAGAGCCCCCCCAGAATCCCTTTCGAAACAGGCAGGGGCCAGGCTGTCCTGGGGCCAAGCATGGGTCACAGGTGCAAAGTGAGCCCAGGTTTGTGGTGCAGCTCCCTCTTCCTTATCTGCAAAGGAGGAATGGAGCCCAAGCCCCGCCCACCTTTTGGTCTGCGGCTGGAGAGACCAGCCAGCTGCAGGCTGTTCTCTCCTGAGAAAGAGCCTTACAGGCCCCAGACTGGTGCGCTGTGGTGGTTCCGGTTGAAGGGAGGGCACAGACAGAGCCCTTCTAGCACCCCCCCCCCAGCCCCTACCTCTTCCTCAAGACACCTTAGAAGAGTTCAAGGGCCCTCTAAATTGACAATAAGGTCAAGAGAGAGCGGCTTCCTAAGAAGATTAAGGAAGGGAACTTAATGCAAGCATTACTCTGCTGCTGGATTGTGAATTGGGGTCATCACAGTTGCTTAACTACTCCAGGTTGAAATGAGATGTCCACCTGACAGAGGACAGGGTGAATCAGCAGAGTAGAGATGATTCTCCAGCTTCTGAGTGGCAAGAGCCGAGATACCTTACACCAGGAAGTAGGAAGAGAGGAAAACAGGCTACCTCCTAGGTGGCCCTTCCCAGGACTATGAACTAAGGCAGAGTCCTGGCAGAACTGGAATCCAGGTGACCTGAGATTGAACCACATTTAAGCACAGGCCGCTTAGACCAGCCAGCTTCTCCTGTTTGCCACTCTGGGAAGTGTACAAGCTGCAAAATAACAAATCCCCCACTCTGACCCCAGTGAGATAATTTAGTCAATTTGCTGCCTCTATTTCTTATTTTTGTTTCTGATGGTATCTTTTTAATGTTTTTACTTGTGAGTCATTGGGAGTCAAACAGCGTACTAATCTAATAAATATTTTAAATAGAATTGTTCCACTTTTACCTTAACTAGGCACCCTCTGCCTGCTAGTTGGCACTTAACAAAGTAGCTGAACTTCATTAACGTGCAAATGTCCCTTGCTACTGGCCCAAACCAATGGTTCTCAACCCAGGGTCCCTAGACCCCAGGGTAAGTGTGATGTCATCACAGGGAGTCCGCAGTGGTGGGATTCAAAATTTTTTACTACCGGTTCTGTGGGCGTGGCTTGGTGGGCATGGCAGGGGAAGGTTACTGCAAAATCCCCATTTCCTCCAGATCAGCTCAGACTTGGGAGGCAGAGAATAGATGGGGGTGGGGCCAGTCAGAGGTGGTATTTACTGGTGCTCCAAACTACTCAAAATTTCCGCTACCGGTTCTCCAGAACTGGTCAGAACCTGCTGAATACCACTTCTGGAGTCCGCGAAGGCTTGAAGAAATGTTATGACTTAAATCTTCACTCAAGATTGTGTGGAGGGGTCTGTGTCCACAAAAGGTATTTAAAGGGAGTCCATGATGAAGAAAAGGTTGAGAACCAATGGCCTAAACTAAGCAACTCCCAGGGGAGAGACGAACCAAAGGAAGTGCTTTGCAAGCAGATGCCATGGCAATTCTCCTTACTGCTACTGGGGCTGATGGATCCAGACTGGGGGAAACTCTCTGATGCAATAGCTTTATTAATAAACTTCTATTAATTGTAATGATCCTAGTGCCTTCCCCTGTGGTATTCAACCTGCAGTGGGTATCCAACACTATAGCCAGCAATACTATGTCACTAAAAGGGCATGGGAGCCAGTTTGATGTAATGGTTAAGACATTAGGCTAGAGACTGGACGAGTGTGAATTCTAGTCCCGTCTTAGAAACGAAGCCAATTGGATGACTTTGAGACAATCCTGTTTCTTGGCCCTAGGAAGAAACAGGAGGCAACGACATACCAATTCTGAAGTCTTGCCAAGAAAACTGCAGGGACTTGACCAGGCAGTCCTCAGGAGTCAACACTGACTCAAAGGCACCAAAACAAAAAGGCTGCTGACAGAAGACGGAGAAGCAAAAAATTTAATGGTTCTCCACCCATCCTTGGATGGAAACAAGATTGGCTGTGCATTAATCGTTCCCATTCTTGTTGATCGCTCTCCTGCCTCTGCTGCTGGTGTTACCAATCTCTGCCATAAAG